GAAAGCAAGAGGACAGGAAATTCTCCTTCACTTACCAGGTCCACCTGCTGGATAACACAAAGAAAAATATTGGACAAGTTGTTTGCGGGTAAACTGAAAAATATGCATGTGAAAAGAAGAGGCAGCTTTCAATAACACAGAGCGTAGAAACTGCAATGGCAAAGGTGCACACTATGACTTTTTTTAAGAGATACATCTGTTTTAGGTATTTTTAATACCTTCTTTCCTTTTGCCACTGTTGTACACATGTTCATATATGCCTTCAGTTAGATTATCTTTGCAAAGTAAGTACAAGGTAATAAAATACTGGAAAAGAGAATAAATTTCCCTGGCCCACTCTCCAGGGTGCTCACTGGAGATACAAATATAATTACTTAAACCATCTTGACTTCTACTCTGTGGTGTTGATAGTCTAATTTCTGCATTACTTGAACAAAAAAGTGGAAATTCTGTTCTAAGTTCGCGTAGTTTGTTCCATTTATTTTGTTTGTTTTGTTTTTCCAGTAAAGTAATACCAAGGGGTTCACGGATACTAGTGTGTGGAAACACAGCTTGTTACCAACTGTGTGAGCTTTCTGGCTGTCTTTAAGATCCATGTGTGTATGTACTTTTAGGGGTAGTATTACACTTTTACGTGTGGAGTTGTTTGTTTCTGGGAGATTGGGAGAGCGTGGGAAAAGGCTGTTACAAGGTAATATTAGTGGTTTTGCTAGAGGAAAAGCTTTTTCAGAAAGTACGTCTGCCAGGATTTCTTGAAAGAAGTCTTGTGTTTGTTTATTGTGTCCTGTTGGCACTTGAACCTCCTCCTTTGTCAGTAGCTGAAGGCAAGTGATGGGATTTCACCACCGTCTTGTTACTCTAGCTTTCACTGCGTGAGAAAAGTGGAGCTTCGCTGTTTCATCTTCACTTGCTCGCTCCAGCCGTGTCTTTCCCTTAGTGACTTCGACTCTTGCGCAGTTGCTGCAGCAGCGATGCTGCTGGGGGTGGTAGGGGATGGGTGCCCCTCTGCCCTCGCGCCTGCGACGTTGTGCCACTGGGGTCGTTCTGCACTGGGAGGCTGGAAAACAGACTTGGGCTTTCAGAAGTGTCTCCTGCAATGGGAGTAGTATGCTGTTACAGATTTATTAATTTTGGCTGGTCTTTGAAATGGCAATGTAGAAACGCTGAAATGGAAACGTCGAAGTCCTGAGCTGCAGATAGCTGGAGGAAGGGAGGGAGAGCGTTTGGGAAGTGTCGTTATATGCTCATTTTCTTTATATTTTTCTTTAGGCATCTACTGTTAGCTCTTGTCAGAAAGGATATACAGAATCCACGGAGGCCTCTGGTCATTCTTAAGGGCTAGGATGATTTTTTGTTTGTTTCTATTAACTTCTGCAGAAGGGGAAATGGTGGTGATCTGAGACTTGCTGGTATTCACGTTTAAAGTGGTGGTGTGGCATGGGATGCTGTCCTGTGCCACCTTATTGCAAATGCTGAGAAATCTCAGCTGTTCTGTAGCACAGTCCTCTTGGAAAAATAAAAGAATATGGGGGAAAGTCTGTGGCTTGAAGTGCGGGATGAGGGAGCTATCTCTCTTTTGCTGGAAATGTCTCAGAGAGGAATTTTAAATTTAAACAAGCAAAGAAAAGGATGAAGGAACCTGAAGGCTCAGACTAGTCTCACACTACAAAATGTATTTGATGCAAATTCGATTTCTGTCTTGAAGCAACTCAAATGATATCTTAGCAGCTGGCACTAATTGACTATCTCCCGGAATTGGCATGATGACAGCAATCAAACTGAATTTATTGCTTTGGGTTTGATTCCTCTTCCGGACTCTTCCCATTCTCAGAAATGTAATCTAGAATGTGTTCCCACAGGAATGATAGCTTCAAGCCTCCTGTAACAGCAAGGGTAGAGCATGGTCCTAGTGCAGGATGAAGACAGGCGGACTGTAGTATTGAGCAGCCAGAGTGTATATTCCAGTTGAGAGCAGGAAGATTATGTATTGGTAAAGGGAGCAGCAGGGTTTTTTTCTTCATGACATAGTTTCTCATCAGAGATGATTCACAACTAAGCGTTAGTTTTGTTACTGCTTCATTTTACTGCATTTAGGAAGAATCTGCCTTCCCATTGGGGTGGCTAAACTTTTAGGCTGCTAAAAGTTGCCCCCCCTCCCTCCCCCCCTTAAGGCAGAGGTGTACTAAATAAAGAGCGAGCTTTAGCCATAGGACCTCAGTATAGCTGCAGTTTGGTAAAGTAAGCCAGTAAACACTGCTGTGGGTGTGCTCCTTTGCACGTCGAACCGTTTCGAAATGGTGCTGTTCCTAATGCTTGTTGAAGAAAATATGGTAGAATTAACTTTTTCCACCTCATCTCCTGGTAGGTGTAAAATTAATCACTTTCACTGATAAATCTTGGTTTGACTTAAGAACTATTTTGTCCACTCTTTCAATTAGTTTTTAATGCTGTCTTCTGCTTCTGCTTGCCAGGAGAAGGAACTACCTGAAATAGGTGTGGTTTTGCTGACGTTTGTTCCTAGAGCAATAAATGTCAGTGTTCCTTGGGCAGGTGGAGGGGATAGGGTGCAAAGGGCACATCTCTTTCAACCTCCCTGGTCACTGGTCCTTCGAGGAGCTTGTGGCAAGACTCTGGCTGGAAAGCGTGTTTGCGTGGCAGCTGCCTGCAGCTGAAACAAAACTCCTCCTCGCATCTCTGGGGAGCGGGAGTCAGTCAGGGCATCGTAGCTATGTCCGAAGCCGGGAGGGTTTCGTGCTGTGCTGCCTGTGCAGGGTGGCGGTGTCGGCACCTGACACCATCTTCTCCTGCTCCCCGGCTCAAGTTCGGCCCTCACCCCGCTTGCTTGGGACTGATCTCCTTTTCAGGTTTGTTGCAGGTGTCTGTCTTCAGACTCTTCCTTTTGCAAGCGTACCTCAGCTCCATCCAGACAGGTCTCCCTGTGCTTCCCTGGCAGCCCCTTCTCCTCAGCACAGCTTCCTAACAGGCTGATTAGGCACAGTGACCTTTTTCTTCATCTTTTTTTTTGTTGCTGTTATATAAATGTTCTCACTTGACAGCTCTAGACTGCTGGGATTTGTAGATGTCCTGTGCCCTGTCTGTGTGTCTGAAAATGTTCTCCTCCGGGCCTCGGGTACCCTTGGAGGAGAAAGACCTGGTGAGGAAAAACCTCCTACGAAGCAGCCATGCGTGTAGTGGCCAGAGTAGAAAACCGGGAAGTGATTCCCTGGAGATGAATGGAGCCCAGAAGTTGGGTCTTACGTTACTCATCCATCTCTGCCACTGCATCTTTGGGGTAACAGACTGAAGTGGTCAGACAATGAAAGGATTTTCTTACAAAAGAGTAAGAAATGTGCATCAATATAAAACTAGTCATATTCCCCACCCTGCTGGAGATTGCCAGATTTTCGTGAAGTAAAGCTATCTGCATTTTTCTTTTTTTTTTATTTCTGTTGGGTACATCTTTCTTTTACATCACATTATCCTGTTTATCTGCTGAAGTTTGATGCATTTAGAACATGTAGACCAAACTGTCACGGTTTTGGTCTGCTGTCTTCTGTACTCAGGCAGGGTTGGTTTTGTTTTAACTTGCTCAGTTAGAGATTCTTACAGCTGTGACCTTATTAATTGTGCATGGCCACTTCTGTCTCTCCATTGTGCACGAGCAGTCCTGTCCCAGTGAATACACAGCACGTTTGTATAAAGTGAAGCAGTGTCATTTTTGCAGGTCCTTAACTCTCACAAATGATGCTAACACAATCATTCTTGTTTTCTATTAAAGTAAATCCCTAGACAAATCAAAACCCAACCCAAAGAAATCCCAGTTCTCTGAACAGCCAGTTTCTTACCAGGTATATTCTGAACAAACCCTGTATTAACATTACTAGAATGACACTTAGCGCAGTATTTGCAGAGCAATAACGTTAAAGGTACTTGGTTTAAATGTAGTCTCACATGCTGAACCAAGATGCAGAAATCATATCATATAAAGGACTAATAAAGAGAAATAGTCACACCTTAGTTTGTGTATCAAACATGAGAAAGTTTTCTCCTGCTGTTTTTAAGTACCATCTCCTTAAGCATTTACATTTGAAATTTTGCTACAAAAGAGCTACGTAGACTGCACTTTTCTGTCCGTGTAGATACTTATTGCTTCAGACTGTAGATAGAAGAATTGTCCGAATAGCAAGATTCTCTTTTTTTTTTGGCTGGAAAACAGTAAATGAATATTAGATGAGTGTTTGTAATATCCTGTACTTAAGTTTTAAGCATCAGCTATTGTTTAGGGCTAGACAGCTCTGTAACGTAGCAGGAAAAGAGCTTAATGAAATCCAATATTTGGAAGCAGAAGGTAGATGAATTCAGACTTGGAACGGCAGTGCTAAATTTTAACAGGAAGGATAACTAACATTTGGAGTAACTTCTGTGGGTGTATGGCTTTATTTATCACTTTAAGTCTTCAATGTGAACCCTTATGTTTTGTACAGGATATACTGTATTTTAGGCAAGTTATGGAAACTGCTGATTGAATTTCATAGTTTGTGAAAGGTGGGAAATAGGCCTAATATCCCAGGTCTGGAATCCTGTAAGGTAGGTCAGATGTGTTGCTGTGTTTGTTAGCGACGAGGTGTACTTCCACTGTGCATTAAGAATAATAACCTTCACTCCAGAAATGGCTTGCAAAAATAAAATTGATCTTTTGGGCAGAGGGAGGAGAAATTATTTGCTTTGCAAGCTCTTGGTAAGGCAGGAATCTGAACCCATGTTGGCTTTTCATCATTATTCTAACACAGTTAAGAATACTTTGCATTTTCAAGGTTCGGTGAGACCCTGTATAAGAGATGTATTGAAGCCTAGCCTTTTGACTGCTCTGCTGGACTCGCAGAATTTTGTTTTTTCAGTCTCCTACTGGGAATAAGCATTGTTAGACCAGAGAAAGGTAGAAAATTTGCAGCTTATTCCTTACACATTTAGATACCGGATTGTTCCGGCAAGTACCAAATCAACTCTGCCACTGACACCTGGAACAAGAGTCAAATGCCTGCGCTGTGCCAAAGGCCACCAGGCAATGTAAGATTTAAAAAGCGGCTCTCTTGGGGATGGGGTGGGGGGGCTCTTTTCAAGTCAGAGGTTGGGCTGTGTTCTGGTGCTGCCTACAACGGGATGGGTGACCCTGCAGGAACGGGACCATGATCCTCCATGACCCACAGCAGGAAACCCGCCCAGCCTGACCTTTTGCTGCTCTCAGTTGTGGCGGCTGGCTGCTGGTGCTCCTGGGGCTGGAGCGTGCGTTCTCTCTGCAAGTTGTGCTTGAGTTTGCCTGTTTTGTTGCCCTGGAGACAGAGGAGTGTGGTATGCTTTCCCCCTGACCAGAAATAGTTTCCTGTACCTTGTGACCGGAGCGCTGTACTCCTCCTCTGGTCTCCGGCCAGGCTGTGTGGCGCTGGAGGGATGGGGTGTGGGGTGATGACCTCTTGTCACAAGTTCTGGTGTGGCTGCTGCCCATGATCACTAGCTGCCCTGCCCGCTCCCCTCCCGCTGCACGATGGTGTAGGATTTCAGGGGAGCAATTGCTCTTGATTTACATCTCCCATGGCATTTTGATGGTTATGTCATTTTGTTTGAGCCTTGCTCCTGTCAGCTGTCTGTCCTGGCTGTCAGGACTCGGTGGCTGAGTAGCACGTGGTGAGCTCTTACCTCTCCTTCCCCCTTTGCTCAGCTGTTTTTGCTGTCTGCTTCCCCGTGTCCTTGTACTTGGGAACAGATTCTCAGCAAGTGTAACTGCGCACGAGGGCAATGTGATCTGGGTGGATGAAGGATCCCCTTCTGTAGGAGTTCCAAGTAGAGCTGGGAGGGTAAGTGGGGAATTTGCAAGACGCAGGCGTGCAAGCGGGCTATGGATAGTTTATCTTAAACTGTTGTCCTGCTCTGAGAATCTGGCCCGAGTGCAGAGTATGCAGCACAGTCTATACCTTGCAGCTGTGTTTTGCAAAACTTCATTTGTGAGAGGTGCTGCTGAAAGGGGAGCGGAGGCACCCCCACCCCTCCCCAGCAATGGAGGTGAGAAAGTGCTTGCACTGCACCAGGCCTCGGGAGTGTGGAATCTCTCCAGGCTTTCTTGCTGCCTGCTACTTTATTTGAGAGTGGTTCTGGCATAGAATGGTAAAATATATGCAACAACAACAACAATAATTTCCAGGATTGAGAAGGAAGGAGAGATGAAAGGGGTAATTTACCTTCCTCCATCCCTGAACAGTAGCAGATGAGGATGTAAGCACATCTCAGCCCTATAAAATATTAATTGGGACATTTTCTACAGTTCAGCAGTGGGAAAGAAGACAGAAATCCTGCAGTGCCCTGAGCTGCTATTCCCAGCCTGGGAGAGAAAAGTGTTCTGAGCTGAGATCTGGCTCAGTCTCTGTCTTCTGCTCATGGGGAAGAGAACAGTTGTCCAAAGCCTTCCTTTACAGAGGGAAGGGAAGCCCATGCAGAGACCATGGAGCTGCACAGGCTGTTCTCAGGCAGAGCAGTGCAGTATGACTTTGTTGAAGTGGGTCTTCAGTGGTTTCTTACAAATCGGAGGATGCTGCTTTCCTGCCAGTGATCTGCTGAGTAGCCTGACCAGCCGAGGGTCCTGCTTACTCCTGTGGAGAAGACTTGTGTGTCACAGGGGATGCAGAGAATGTGTGTTTTTAAGCCTGTGTGCTGAAGATCTGCTACAGAAGAAATGTCAAGAGCAGGCAGGGACTGCTCCTTCCCCTTGCTATGTTCTTTTGATGGCTGGACTGGGGAGGAAGGGCAGTCCTTGCTTCTTGCCTCTTTCTAGGCATCTGCATCCCCAAAAGTCTAGAGTTTAGCAGCTGCCAGGGCTGCCTAAAAGAATTGCTTCCCTCAGATCCTTTCAGTGAAGCTGTGCTTGTCCAATGTAAGCATTTCACTTGAGAGGATGGGGGCTTTGTAGTGAAAGTTCAGGGCTCAATAATTGCTGTAGTGAAGAATCTCCTGTCTGAGCTTCAGTGGCTAAAAGGCCCCCTGCTTCTTGGCTGAGATGGGCAGAGTTGCTTTAGCTCCCTCTCCTTTCCTTGCACTCAGCAAGTTACATTTCTAGGGAGGAGAAATCATTTTTTACTCTCCTTGATATTTTTTTCTTTCATCCAGATGACAGTCATGTTCGAACTGATGTTGCCTTTGGGCTGAAGTAAGCATACTTAGCATTTGGGCAGAAGTTCTCGCCTGGAGATATCGAAATGCTTGATCAGCATTTCACCAGCAAGTCTGTCCATGGGTACTGAAGTATGGTTACCTTTATGATTCACCGGAGCTGGCAGAGTTCCCTACTTCATGTGATGGCTGTGCCCTAGCAGGAGCTTTGTATTTCTCCCTCCTACTCTGCCCTTCTTCCCCAGTGTTTCTCTGGAGTGGAAGCAGGTCTTTTTCCCATTTCTTGTGGGCTATTTCTTCAGAGACTTCTCCTTCCCTCCAGCCTTGGAGAAGAGGGTAAGTCTCAGAAGGGATGTCACTGGAAGTGGCTTTGCATATTTGTGAGGCTGATGGAGGAGCAGTGTCTTTGACTCTGCTGCTGCTCACTTTGAATCCAAGGAGGGAGTATCACTTTAGTGCTAGCTCTGTAGCGGGAGCGGAGGTCCTCCTGCAGCCTCGGCTGCATAGCTCTCACCTGAAACAGCTGTGAGGTTTTGGGAGACAGTCATGTTCCAGTAATTCCCAGCCCTCTGGATGCCTGCTGGGTCACTGTGTTCCTTTCTCCATTGAATGTGAACAAGAGCTTAGTTCAGAGTTGTGGTGCTTAATGCCTTGTTTCTTACTCTCTTTCAGATCACCAGAAACTGGAACGTGAAGCTCGGATCTGCCGACTTCTAAAGCATCCAAATATTGGTAAATCTCCTTGGGATCAGAGGGATGGGGGTGAGAGAGGAGTAATGTGTCTCATCTAGTGCGCTGTAAGAGAGCAGATGTATTCTTAATGTTCACAACAACTTCTCAAACTTGCCTGTTGAAATCACCTCAGTTTCTCTCTTTGACAAATTCTGCATGTGACCCTGTCCCATTCCTTAGCATCCTGGCCCACGTGTTCACCAAAGTGTGCTGTGTCCGCTTGCCCATGCAGAGCTGTCTCTGCTCCTTGGGTGATGCACAGCTCTTGTCTGCTCATCTGACGTTCTGCAACAGGAGTGAGCTGTTGTGTGTGTTTTCCCCACACCTGTCTTCTGTTTCCTCCTCTTGGCACTTTTTGACGTATCCATTTAAATGCTGTATTCAGTGACATGCCCGAAGTTAAAGGAGGGTGGGCTAATGTGTCAGCTCTTCTCATTACAGTGGCCACTTACTCTAAAAACAAGAGACCAAAACCAAATTGCCCATTTTGGCAGCGGTCAAAAAAAAACCCAACAGTAATGGAGTAAAGGGAATAGTTTTGTGTAGAAATACAGGAAGAGGCAAAATAAGGCACAACTTCAAACCAAAACTACATTATTTACTGAACTGTAGAGAGAGGGCATGGATTTTTATCTAGTTCCAAAGCACCACGGAACTTTGTCCTAAGTTTTCTTTAGAGAAATTTCACATTGCTGGAAGTTGCTTTGAGCAAAAAATTTGGACCATTAATAATCTCCTTTTTAGGATCTTTAAATAAATAAAGCCTCTAGGATCCTAGCTAAGGTCTAATTTGAGTTAATTTATTTAACAAAACATTGAGAAATACCAAACTGCCACCTTCAACCAAACCACTGTTAAATATTCCTGTCTGGGAAACCTGTGATGCATTACATTGTCCTTCTTTTGCATAACCCTAGCTGTCAGTGTAGAAAACATCTTAAGGGTATGTGTCTGGTTTGCTCCTCTCCTCTGAAGACCTGTGAGAGGAAAGGTGCCTTACAGCATACCCCGTGGACTAGCATCTATAGCCTATTCCGTGCGTGATGAAGAAGCAATTTCCACAAGCTCAGGACCTCACAAAATGCAAAGTGCTTTAGTAGCAGCTTTTCAGCAGAAAGAGCTTTGTTGCATCTGAGTGTAGTTGTGGAGATATGGCATGAGGAGAGGAGCAGTGGCCACCTTCTACAGTAATTTGCACTGCTGAATATATTGGCCGGTAAATTTATTGCTTGGCAATATTCAGAATGACTAAAACTCATATTAGCTAGTTATTGAGCTTCATTTGCCCCGTAAGACTTGTTGCACTTAGTTTAGTAGGTGATGTAATTTTTTATTTTGGCCTTAACTTCACTTTCATCCTCTCTCCTTCTTATCATTTCTTATATCTTTTCTTGCCAGGCCTCTCACAGAGTAAAAATTATATGTAAGAGGAAAACCACTTTTATAAGTAAACCGCACCGAAAACAGAAGCATACCATGTTCCTAGTTCAATTCTACAGCTTGTTCCTCATCTGTAATGAGTGGCAATGCTTGTCTCCTGTTGTATTGTGGTTTGGAAGAGACAGTTTGGGGGAATGTCAGTGGTTCTTGCATTTTCTACAAAGCATTTCTTGTCTTCCTAGAAAGAAAAGTTTTTCTTTTAAGATGAAGAGACCAGTCATTCTAAACTCAACGGGTGGTCACAAATAGCAATAAAGGAATTAAGTTTTATGCCTACAACACAGAATCAAAGTGTGTGGAATAAGACCTCGGGAAGTCATATGGTCCATTCAACAGTCCTGTGAAAACTTTTTATACCTGGCTGGTTCCAGGCATGTTTGTTCTTAAAAACCTTTAATGCTTCCACAGCCCCTAGTGGCAATCTTTCAAATGTTTAATTTTTCTGTCAGTTAGACATTAGAAAAAACATACTTTGCTGCTATCTTAGCTTGTTGTTTCTAGTTCTATCTGGAGTATATGTGGAAAGTAGTTTTTCTTTCTTGTAACAATCTTTTACATATTTGAAGACTGTTATCATGTCTCTTTTTAGTCTTCTTTTTCTTCAGACTAAACAAACCCAGTTCTTTCAATCTTTTCTCAAATGTCATGTTTTCTAGACCTCCAG